AAGCTTCCTCTAACCTCCACCTTTCTTAGATCCAATTGGCCCCTCAACAATCTTCACATCTCGACTGCCACCTTCCAATCTCTTACACCTTTGCCTTTTTAAATAAGGTTAAGAACTCAATGATGACCATTAATACCACCGCTCTCTTCAACTCATACTTTAAACCTTTAGTAAAATTCTTGCATTTTTCCTTAAAGATGATTTGTGTGTAGAAACGAGCTAAGTGTTCGAAACTTATAACATACTTTATGATTGATAAACTACTTTGATGCAATCTCATGAATTTCACCTCCTTGGCATGCCTCACACTCCCCAAAAAAACACTTCTCAACAAATATCATGTTAAAGCATTCCCAATTAACCACCATTCCCCTAACTACTAGCATTTACCGAGTACCACACCGCTAATACTAATGTTTTCCTACCAACATATACATTACGTAAGCAAGCTTCCTCTTGTTCATACACCCCAACATTGTAAATATTTTCTCTATCTCCCAAATCCAGTGATTAACTATCTCTAGATATCCATCTCCCCTAAACTAAGCACTTCCTGAACTCTATCTGGTCTCCACTTGCCTACAACCCTACCGATGTTATTGCCTTAGCTATAGCTCTGTTTGCCTCCACTTGAGAAAAATGGGCATTTTGTTGTTTCATAGTCATGACCATTATCTCTATGACATGAGTTATTTGATCATATTGGGGTCTAATCATCTTCTACAGAGATCAACAAATCATTCATTAACACTATACAACAACCACTCAACAACTACTCAACACATTATAAAGTAAAACACATAAAAACCCAATGGGATCATCCACACATAGTGCCTAATTGACTTGACCTGGCTCTGATACCATAAAAGTGTAACGATTCACCATGATCCTTACACTTACAACTTGTCAACTAGCAGTGAAAAGCAACTAATCTCTTAGAATTCAAAATTACTTGGACATGTACTCTATAACAAGTATATAAATGAAAGGCCACTATACAAATATAAGATAGTATAAGTACAATAATCTAGTAAATGCCAAATATGCAACCTAAATTGTTTGTCAAGCAACATCTATATACTAACTACATAGGAGTAACACAAAACAACATCTACACCACCATCCACCAAATGGCATCCAATGCTCACCTCCACAAACCTATCCCTACTTTACTCATATATCAAGTATAATCATCACAGTCTAACCACATGAAAACATGTAAAGATAAGCCAAAGTTCAAAGAATAAACATATGCATCATCAATAATCATATCAATACATCTCATGCTCAACCCAATATCTAACTCAATCAACATTATCAACATAGCATAGTATCATACAACAAAACAACACAACCATATATGCACAACAATCAACTACATGCATCATCACTCATTTCAACCATAGAAATCTCCTACAAAATAGGCTATTAGTTTAAGTAGCTTGATTCTACCGAACCAATAAATTGATCTTTTTACACCGGCTAGATCAACAAACAAATGGAATATCAATCTCTAGAACATAGTTTCTCGAATGTTGTCACTTAAACTAGAAAGTCTAGTATTCTTGTCAAGGTAGAACATATTAGGTATTAACCTACCATGACATTAGCTAGCTTAACTAAGTCTTTTATGGGATTAACCCCTTGACCTTCCCAATACTACACCTCTTTAGTACTCAATTAGGGACTAAGTTTCTAACTTCATACTATACTCAATTTAGTCATTTGTAACCAATATAACTTGATCTAGCCTCTATATTGTGGTTGTTTGTAATCCACATATTGTATTAACTAAGGTCTTAGAGGAGACTCAACTATTTTTTTCAAGGGTCAACTTCCCAAGAAGGTTTTTTTTTTTTTAAAAAAAAAAAAGGGATATCAAAGTACCACAACACAATATTCTTAATGGGATATGCAACTTTAAGACAACTTTTCCTATAGTCCTAGGTTGAACAACATAACTTTCAACACTATGCCTTAAGCATTATCAACATCAACACCACAACAACATCATGCATAAAACATATTCAACACAATTGCTTAAACACTAAACATACAACTCAACTCAACTTTCAACTATTAATCATCTAAAAACATTATCCTGGATCAATGTAAATAGCATGAACAAAATTTATCAATGCAAAACATGAAATAGACTACTCTACTCTATTCATACTCCACATACCTAACTAGTGCTCGATAACACACCCAACGCCTAATGTCATCAAGGTAGGGGACTTTCTGCCTCACCCACGCCTAACGTCATATAACTTGCACTTGACGTGGATTAGGTAGAGGCCCCTAGGACATCATGCCTGGCATGGTGAAGTTCCTCGCCCAACCTCAAATCCAAAGAGAATGAGGAAGAGAAGAAGAAGACTTTTGAACGACAACTAGACACTACGCATGGATCAACAATCTTGATGCAAGACTTGAATCAACAAACAACACAACTATAATGAGATTCTACAGAAGAATCACCTTTATTACAAGAAAAGATTTAGAAAAGAAGAGAATTCATTGACTCAAAGCATTTCTCTCTAGTTTATCTCTCTAAGTATGTAAAACTAAACTTATGAAATTCAATTTTAAACAAAAATCTTATATATTACCTCCATTTAGGAGCAAACTGGATCTCTACCCAAAGAATTCTCAATTACTTAAAATTTATAAGGAATTCCTTAATTCCAAAGTTTCTTAGCATAAAACAACTAACAACAATAACATATAATAAAATTGAAATCAATAATAAAATTCTAAAACTCATATGTTACATGTACAACACCACATCAAGTTATAGCATAGGTGCTCTTGATTTTGTATGTGGTGCAACAAGTATCTCACTTGTCTCCCGATATGCTCATGGCTTCCTACAATGCAGAGCGTTGGGTTTCATGTCCCCAAGCATGTGAGAACCAAGTATCTTTGCATGTGGATGGTAGCCGTCAAGGTTGTCCCGATTTGGTAGGATATCGGGGCCTAATTCAAAAATTCTAATGACATTTGGATAACTGGCTTCTATGGTGGTTTTGGTCAGATAGATATTCTTAAGGTTGAATTGCTATTAATCAATCATGGTTGGACTTTAGCTTGGGAGCTTCATTTTGATGATGTGCTTCGTAACACTGATTCACTCCATGCATTGAATCTCATTAACGGTGATTGTTCTTCTTTTCACCATTATGCTACCATTGTTGGGAACATATCGGACTTCATGAAGAAGGATTGGAATATTTAGTTGATCATTCATTATGTGAAGGTAACCATGGTGTGGATAAAGAAATACTCCCCCAAATCAAAATTAAGTACACAAGAAAAGAAAAAAAACTTTTGCATACAAGACTAAAATATAAATGCATAATAACAAGCTTTATCCTACTTAATGATATCATTCTTAAAATATTTTTCATTTTTTTATATCAAGTTTGAACTAATGACATTTAGAAGAGAAATTTACATTTGAGATGAAATTAATTAAATTATACTAACTTTATTTCTTAATTAGTGCTATTTTTTTTCCTTATAATTAATTTAGTTTGGAAGAAGTAAGAAACAAACAAGTAGGTACATTAAAAGGAAGCGCTCGTGACATTTGCTAGCATGAAAGAGTCCACACCAAATATCAATGGTTTCAACTAATTGCTACATTGCATTACATATATTTAAATGTCTAATTTATAAAAAAATTAATAGTACTCAATTATATCTTATACAAAAATAAATTAAGAATCAAGATCTACTAATAATTTATTCCCAACTTCAGCAAATATTTCACGATCATGTGATTCAAGATTGTCAAGTAATTTATCTCCAACTTGGCCAAATACTTTACGCATTGATTCCCTTCTTGTAGTGTATGAAGCAGCTTACACTTCTTGTGTCAATGTAATATTAATAAAATTACTTTGTGCCAAAGATACATGCTATTTGTTCTTAAAAAATTAATATTTAAATCACATTTTATGAACTTTTTAACATCAAACTTTTATGCAACAAACATGTTTTATTATAATTTGTAACTTTTGGGGGTATAAAATTGAAAATAAAAATAATCCTGAAATTATAAAAACGTTATTTCTGTCTCTAAAATTATTAAAAGAAACATTTTAATTTTTAAAATTATTTGATAAAAATTATTTTAGTGCTTAAAATTATTATAGTACTAGTGATAGTAAAGTCTAAAGTGAATTATATTGTGTAATTTAAAAAATTAAAAGAATATTTACATTTTACACAATATTTTAAAAATTGGATTGGACCGGTCGGTTGAACCTGTTGAACCGCTAACGGTTGTTCAATCGGTCTAAATTTTAGGTTGGATTGGTTATGCATTCAACCTGTTTCAAATCGGATTGAACCGGTGGATCAAACTGGTTCAATTGCAAATTTTTTTATTTTTTTAAGGGACCACAAACCACAAAAATAACAATAAGAATTGAATATGTTAATGGAAGAGCAAAAAGTCTTATTAAACATAAGAATGACTACTTGTTCTAATGTATTTGTTTGTAATATATATAACTTAAATAAATTTTATAATATATTTTTAATTTTAAATTATATATTTAATAATATAATATCTATATAGATATTACATATATATTATTTTGTGATATCAATTATCAACATATTATATATGTACATATTATTTATATTTTTAATTTGTATTAATATACAATTTAACATGTAATTGTTTTACGTATTTCTTTATACAAAATAAAAATAAAGATCATTTTAAATAAGATAAAAATTGAATTTTAAAATAGGATATGAATTTATTAAAATTTATAAGTATAAAATATATTTAACATGAATATTTTTTTTAAAAAAATAATAAAAGTTGAATCATGCAGTTTAATTAATAACTCATCAGTTCGATCTTTGACCTACTAACTCAATACCTTAACCATTACCCTAATCAGTTTAATGAGCGATGTGATTTTTAAAATTATGATTTTACGGGTTAACTTAACTGATTTAATTATTAATTTGAATGTATTTTCCATTTTTTTCTCTTTAAGCATAGGATTTGTCGATACAAAGGGTTTAAGCGTTCAAAGCTCTAAATCTCACACCGCAATCCTCACTCCTTTGGTTTCCCATATCGCTGAGTCGAAGCGGCAGCTCCGTCGTTGGCCCGCCGCCTCCACCTTGCGCCGCCGCGCTTCGGTGACGACGGAAACACTCAGAATTGTTCCTCCGCGGAATATTCCCCGTTTCCCCGTTTTGGAATAATCCCCTTCGCTTCTCGTTGCTTTCGCTTTGTTCAAGGTTAGTAGACCCTGCAATTTCGCCCAATTCTTCTGCGCTTTTAATTTTCTGATCTTTTGATTTGAGTGGTCTTAATTTTCCCTCACCCATTTTAACATTGATATCGGAGTGATACGATGATTTCCCTGTTACTTTTTGGTTTGAAAATTTGTTCATAAAACAAGTATTATAAAAATTTAAAAAAAAACAAAAACAAAAACAAGTTTGAGATATTTTCTCATCCTCTTATTCTATTTGTAGTTCTAACTCAAGGTTGTGCGTCATCAGTAGTGAGACTGCATGTGTCGAGACATCACATGAGTTGTGTTGGTTTTGCATAGATTTATCTATGATTTCAAAAACTAAATACAGTTTCTGAAAATAGCATCAAACAACCCTTATGTGCCATTTAATTTTTTCTTTTTAGTTTAGGGTTTAAATCTTGAGTTTGGTAATGGAATAGATTAAGTTGGGAGGGGAATTTCCACTTTGTATATGTTCACGGTTCCGATGTAGATTAATTTCTACTTTTGACCATAGATATTTTGTACCAATACCATGGTTGTCCAAAAAAAAACACAACTGATTAGAAATCATTGTAGTAAGTTTTTCAAGATAATTATTGTAAAGGTTAACAGACTTTAATTTACCAATGTGACTGAATGAATGATAATGTAATACTGTTTTATATTAACCTGTGCATAACCTCTCTTTTTTTCCTAACTACAAAGTGTTTGTTTTTATTTTTTCAAATGTATGTATAAGAAACTGAGAAAATAACAAGAGTTCACATGGATTGTTATTTGGACTTAGAGAGTTTATGACCATAAGCTATTTTCAGTTAATTTCAATAAAGATTTTTGACAAGGCATTTGAAAAATTTATAAGTTCCTTTGATCAATATATAAATTAATTGACTAAAATAAGTTTGTTTGGTGCAAGAGCTTATATCAAGAGCTTTTAATTATTCCCTTAAGTTAATTGAAGTAGCTTATAGTTTATAAGTTCTTAGTTTTTTTTCTTCTTTTTTTTTTATCCTCATTAATTTACTTGAAATCCTTCTTTACCTTTTTTTTTATTTTATTTTAATTTCTATGTTATTTTCTCATTCTCATTATCAAATAAATAAATATGTGAACCACTAGGGTTAGCCTAGTGGTTGGGAGGGGAGGGGGCGGGGGTAGTTAGAAGCAGGAGGACCTAAGTTCAATCCTTATTGTAGCCATTTTTGTAATGTTTCCTATCTTTACCAAAATATATATATATATATATATATATATATATATATGTTATTTTACATTTATTAGCTGCTTATCTGTTAGTTTTACCAAATATTTTTAATTCAATCAGTTAACTTATAAGTTTTCAGCTATTCAACTTTTAAATTATAGCTTATAAGTTTTCAGATAACTTATAAGCTAATTTTACCAAACACATCCAAACCCTCCAAGATATTGATGATAGCTTAAGAAAACAGTTTACTATTTATATTAAAATAATTCAATCTTATCTTCTCTTTGATTATAAAAACAACTAATACATGAGTACTTAGAATTGTATTTGTATGTATTCAATAAGTTCATAATTAAGTTGTTTACCAAAACAGACCCTAACATAAAATAAAAAGTTGTTTTAAAAACATGGCTTATGGTCAAAACAGAAAATAAAACTAAATCAAGGTAATATTTTTATAATTAAAGGTAAAATTAGAAAACAATTTTCTCAGTCCAAACAGCTCTTAAAGGTCATCTGCAGTATGCCAGGGTTTTTCAAGTGGTTTTTTGCCTGGTAGTTGAAAGCTCTTGTTCTTGCATAATCCGTAATCAATTTTTGATTTTGCACAATGTGTCCTACATCTGTATTGGTGATTAGGAAAGGATCAAATTTGGGTGCTGGGAGGTGTACAATGATTCAAATTTTGCAAGTTCCAACTCTTGAAAGATGCTTGCCTACTTCCAGGGTTGAAGTCCACGAAATTCAAATGTGAAATAAATTAATTTTATTCTTTTTCAATTTGAGTATTGCATTACATTGCAGGTTGGGAGGAGAAAATGAAGCAAGTAGTAGGAATGGTTGTTTCCAATAAGATGCAGAAATCAGTTGTCGTGGCAGTGGACAGACTATTTTACCATAAAGTGTATGACCGTTATGTCAAGCGCACCTCTAAATTCATGGCTCACGATGAGAACAACCTCTGTAACATTGGTGACCGAGTTAGTAACTTGAATTTACTCATCTAATTATTTGTTCATTCAACTTTTGTGAACGTTATTCTTATCATCTTATTTGTACTCTTGGCTAGTTGGATTTGCTCAAAACTAAAAAATTTAATAAATCTATTGATTTTGCCATGCTGTTTAGGTTCGACTGGATCCTTCTAGGCCTTTGAGCAAGAATAAACATTGGGTTGTTGCTGAAATTCTTAAGAAGGCACGGATATATGTTCCACCCTCCACCCCGGTATCTGATAATATGAAATCTAGATCTGAAGCAGCACCTACTTCATAAATTGTCTCAAGGTCTCAATGTATGAACTTAATTCTCCTTTTGAATGCATCCCATCTGGAGTGTTTGTTGTTAAACTATTTATATTATTCCCCATACTTGTGGAAAAGGTTACACTGTTATGGACATGTTTTTTGTTTTTGGCATTACATGTTTCTACAGGTTTCCTGTTTCCTTGTCGCCCTTCTTTGGAGTACTATTCTTCCTAACTCATTTGTTGTTCATTAGTTTTTCATAATAAGCCTCTGATTCCAACCATCCTTCTAATCCACGAGTCTATGCAAACTTTTGAGATATTTTTTGGTTGGTTATATGTTTACTTATGTAGTTGACAGGTGCATTTTCCCTTCTCTGCCCTCTCTTGTCCCCAACTCCAACAAAAAAGTAAAAGTTATGATTTCTTAGTATAATTATTTTTCTGTTTCCTCCTTGCCGTCTTGGTTGATTTATGCAATAGTAATGCCATGTTTGCATACAAAACATATCAGTAATAGGCCATTGAGGAGGAAACAGATGCAAGAGTGGCTTCATGTAGAGAGGATGTAGGAAGTTTTCTGCTTATCAATCAGTATAAAATGCTTTAAGCGTCTCAGGGTGAAAATCCTCGTATAGTGAGCAGTCTATCTATCTTGTTGTCATATAGACTCTTAGGAAGGCACCCGATGAATTTTCAGAGTGTAGATAGGAATCGAGAATATTACATTCTTTGCTAGACAAATTATGCCTGCTATATTTTAAATCTTATATTTTCAGAAGGCCGTTCATATCTGAATATTCTCCACATTGGATTAAAGGTTGATTGTCTTTGAAACTCTCCCTCACAGTAGAGGGAGTCTCGGATATTTTCCAAGATTATTAACAATTCTGATTGGAGAAATATTGGTGAAATTATCACTTCTCCTCATCGAGAGTTTGAGACAGTAGGTGAGCACAAAGCCTTAGATTTCTCAAAAATTAATTTTTAATCCGTAAACTTGACAGAATTCCTATGTAGTGAATGTGGCAAGCTGAATCACAGCGTTTATGGTCTTACAAAAGTGATGGACATCATCACTAAGTGAGAGATTCCAAGACCTCGTACAAAATGAAAAGGCATCCACTGTCAACTTTTTGCCTGAACAAAAAGGGCAATTTTTTCATACACAACATAAAAAGAGAACAAAAATGATAAGGGGAGAGGACATAGGATCATATTGTTAGAGTCCTCTTGAAAGCTAGAAGCTTTCCATCTTAGACCCGTTGCATAGAATAAGTATTCATTTGATTATATTTTAGTCATTCAAAGATTTGACATTAGATGAGTATTCTAAAAATTATAAACAATATCAAAATGATTCTTGGGTCACATTAAATTGATGCCGGGTGATTCTTTGGAGGATCAAGTTGGTAATCTTTTTTCCGGTTTTTGGACATTGGCTGTTAGACTAATTTGGATCGAGTTGGGGAAGACCAATACAAGTCAAGTAAGATCAAATTGGTTGTTTAGTTTACGAATGATTTAATTATCTAAATACAAACGTTTAAAATTGGATAACAGATCTTATGTAGGTGGTCCAGATCGTAAGTCCACAAGCTGTTGTTTTGTTCGGAAAGCTATTTGAGAATATAACAGAAATCCGAACCTCTATGGTTTGTTTGGATGAGGAATTTATATAGGGTAATTTATTTATTTGAAGAATTTCAAATTCTTTGAGGTGAAATGCTTTGTTTGGATGAGGAATTTACAAAGAATTTGAAATCCAAGCATTTGTGAAATTCCTTAAAATAGTAGAATTTCAAATTCTCCCAAAAATGGGAGAATTTGAAATTCCTCATATTTGTTTTTCTTATTTCACCTATATATTTTATCTTATCTCTTCATTCTTTTAATTATTGGATATTCAAAAATATTTTTAAAATTATTAAATATTATCTTATATTAATTTTTGAAAATATTAAATATTATCTAATATTAATTTTTAAAATTATTAAATATTTAAAAATGGATTAATATTTATTTTTATAAAATTTAATTTAAAAATCTCAACATATAAATATATTTTTAAAATCAATTTTACTATGATGGAATCAAATTATCATATTCAACCTAACAATTTAAAATTTAAGAAATTTGAATTGACTCATAATTTCAAATTCTCCCAAAAATGGGAGAATTTGAAATTCCTCATATTTGTTTTTCTTATTTCACCTATATATTTTATCTTATCTCTTCATTCTTTTAATTATTGGATATTCAAAAATATTTTTAAAATTATTAAATATTATCTTATATTAATTTTTAAAATTATTAAATATTATCTAATATTAATTTTTAAAATTATTAAATATTTAAAAAAGGATTAATATTTATTTTTATAAAATTTAATTTAAAATTTTCAACATATAAATATATTTTTAAAATCAATTTTACTATGATAGAATCAAATTATCATATTCAATCTAACAATTTAAAATTTAAGAAATTTGAATTGACTCATCCAAACAAAATATTTAAAGAATGATAGAAATTGAAATCAAAGTAATTCAAATACCAAGAATTTAAAATTCCTTGAATTTTTAAAATTCCTCATCCAAACACACTACTAGGGTTTTGTTGTGTACATTATTTGATCAATAACAGACAATACAAATAAAAGTGTTAAATTTATTATAATTTTTTTTAATATTATCATAATGAATTATTAGTGAATAATGAATCCGGTGGTGAAGGGGAAGCAAAAAAGATAGTGATAGAAACAAGGCAGTGGTGAGTGATGATAGTGGTGGGCAATGGTAATGGTGATAGGCGGCAGTTATGGGAAGGTTTAGGTTGGTGTTGGTACAACATTATAGTAGTAAGTGTTTTTGTATTTTAGACAAATTATTAAGTAACAAAAAATTAGGACTTTTGTTATGTTTTTCTCCATCTTTTTTGTCTTGATTCATAATTTATAATTCAAATCTATAACAAGGATATTGCTTTGTCAGATATTGTGTTTTTTAGCAAATAAAAAAAAAGTCCTATAGTCTATTATGTTCTTGTCTTAATCATAACTTATTCCGTCTACTTTCTATTTGTATATTATTACTAAAGTTTGGTGTTTGGATAAAGTTTAATATATGTTATAATGTTGATTAGCTGATAATTTCATGCTGTACAATCAGTCGATCTGCTGTGCGTGAAAATGGGTTTTAGTTTGTGATCAAAAAGGGAATTATTTTCACGTCATTTATGATACTAATTTTCTCAGCGGTTTTTTTAGTAATAAATCATGACATGCGTTGTGCTGCTGTAATGCTGTATAATATATGCATCGAGTTTCAAAGAAAAGGTATTTAAAAAAAAAAAAAAACTCGAATTGGATTCATCAGTTTTGTGAGTTCCAATCTTATGGAACTCGGTCTTTCATATTTGGAATGAAGGAACATGGAATTCGTTTATTCGAAACATTTTATCATCCATTTCCTAAAAAGTCCCCTTTATCTAGAAATAATTATGGATCCAATTATGATGAGATTGATAGCACATGGGGCATCTGTCTGAAAGCAATTTCTGAAATGTAAAATGAGTAGTTTATTTCATTTTCGCTATAATAGGGGATTTGACATCTTTTATAGTAATATAAAATATAGAAATTAAGACGTACTTAGTAATAAAACTAATTTGATACCAAACATTCAACGCGAACTACGGTTTGGTTCCATTTGCAGATCGTAGAACTGTGAAATAAAATTCAGGAAGGATTTAAGAAAATATACCAAGCTGCAGAGGTAAGAGATATGGTCATGAAAAATTGGAAAAATGCAATGTGATATGGGCTATTGAGTTTTGAATAAATGAGCAGTACTGACCTTGAATTGCAGAGGCTAGGTGCACATGGTGTGTTAATAACTCTCATAGTAGCAGCAAGTGACACGTTGACCTTTCTGAATACATTAATGTCTTGCTCCTCAGGCAAGGTTGTTTATGGCAATATATAGATACACAATGATAGCACTGCATTTATAACACTTAAAAACGCTTTCATATAAAAAAAAATATTGAAGAACCCAAAAAAGTCAAGTAAAAGCATACTTTAAAACATGAATTATGTTCATATCAAATCACTTAATTTTAATAGTATGTTTTAATTTTGGTCGTGTTGATCATGTTCAAATACCGGTGGAAGTTGTTTAAATGACAATAAAAGGCAAAACTCTCACATGGATAGATGGATCAAATAGTACCTCAGATCTATTGTTTTTAATGAGAAGAAACACGTTTAAGATTTCTGTTAAGTTCATTTATTTTGGTGTGGGACCTATGCTCTTGATGAAACTGTTGGAGTTAATTTGCTGGTTTTGTGTAGTTGGAATTCATTTGGTACCAACTATATCCCTTGACCACAAAGCAAAGCGTTTAATTAATTTGTTTTCTTTCTCAAAGTGCATCTAATTATGGTTTAGGATTGAATTTAAGCTGTCGTCTTTTGAAATAGGGGAAGATATGATTGGGCATGCATAAAGTTCTCTCATGTTTTGCTCATAGGAATCATTCCTGAAATTATACGCACAAGAAATACTGAAAACAAATTGCATTATAGTTTCGTGTGGGTATGTTAGCTTCTAAGTTTGTTTTGCATGATTGAGAAGTAGATGCAATTATCACGAATAGTTTCATTCAAAGAATAAATAATTAAGTGAAGGAACAGTAATACAGTAGACTAATTTGAATGGGTGCGAGGTACAAACAAGTTTTTAACGTAGGTGTAAACCCTTGCCATTATGAACGTGACTGAGTGGTGTTTGGTTGAAGTCCCAAGTTTTTCGAAATTTCACGACAGCAAGAGCTCAATGATGGCAATAAATAATGACGTGGAATTCATACTTGACTACTTGTCCAATGCATCTATCAATGTCATTATTAACAATTCTTACCCCACTAGAACCTAATCACATCTTTCACTATATTATTATCCTAAATTACAGTGACTCTTCTATGTGATTAGTTTCTATTTAAAGTAAGGCTATTAGTTTCTTGAAGAGTAATTTTCCTTTTTATTAGTTGATGTTTATTAAAAATCAATATTTTTGTAGGTTTTGTATTACATTTTATGAGTTTTTCTTAATTTAATGGTAGAATTTACTAAAATTTATAATTTTCAACCAATAATATAAAAATATTAGAAAATTTATCCAAAAAAATAATATTAGAGTAAGTATTATTAACATTTCTCATTTGTTGGGGTGATTAATTAAATATATTCCAATAATTCAAAACAAAAAGTTGACTTTGTTGAAATAGATAAATTGCTAAAAATAAAATACATTAAATAAATTACTTACTACTACCCATTGCTTATGGACTTAAGTTGTGCATGTGTTTTATTATATTCAACTATAGGGAACACAATAGAAACAAATAAGAACTTCCAAGGGTGTGGAAATGGAATAAAACTTGTCTTTCTTTGTTGTTACATATAACAAAAATAAAAGGGAAGCATCAAGACCCCACGATGCAAACAACAGTTCAGCACACAATCATCAGCATCATGTCAATAACACAACCAACTCAAACAAATTCCAAATCCAATGATCTAATTTAAAGTTGTAACAAAAAGGGATCAAGATTCTTTCCTCCTAGCTATCACACTTCCAATTGCTTCTCTTTCACTTCACTTCTACACACTCTTTCCGTTACCAATTC